ACTGGAAGGCTGCTGGAAGGTCTCCCCGGAGTCTTCTCTTCTCCAGACTAAACAGCCCCAACTGTCTCAGTCTGTCTCCATAGCAGAGGTGCTCCAGCCCTTGCATCATCTTCATGGCCTCCTCTAGACCCGCTCCAACAGCTCCATGTCCTTGTGTTGGGGACTCCAGAGCTGAATGCAATATTCCAGGTCCCTGGAAAAGCCTGATAAACTCTGCCGGAAGGAACATGGGAGGCTGAGAAATAGCTTTGCAGCGAGGGATTCCAGGGACCAAAATCAGACTATGTGCCTCAAGACAAATATTATGACTATGTCACATTTATGGTATGGTGACGCCTGGAGTCTTCCTCCAGATATTGTCAAGGCTGTGCCCCAATGTGAAGCTGTACACTCAGGGTTTTGCTCAGCTGCCATGCTCATTGAGGGAACGTCATAGAATCGTAGAATGGTTTGGGTTGGAAGGGACCTCAAAGATCATCTAGTTCCAACCCCCCTGCCATGATGCAGAAAACCAAGTGCCATGCGACCTGTGACGCAATTGTCAGAGTTGGCAGCAGCAGGGAGACCAAGAGGCGAGTTAGTCCAGAAAAAGTGCAATAATGAGCGCTCTCAGGTGTCTGCTTCTTACAGATAGATGAAATGTCCCAATGGGATGAGGTTCAGAGCAGCAGTTTCTCAACACCTTGAAGGATGGCCCTGCAGGACAGCCTGCAAGAGGAGAGGGTCTTCTTGGCCAGTCTCTGAGGGGGTCTCCTGCACGGCCGGGGCTCCCCAGTTGCTGTGGGATGAAGGACATGATGCTCTCCCACATGCACATGTTGAAACGGGCCGGGCTCGCTGTGGCACAGACACGCTGGGGCTTCACAGCCTCCCTGAAAAAGCGGGGTTGCTCCTTACTTTGTATTCCGCAGCACATAAGCAACTCAGAAGAAATGCAGCCCTGTCAATGCTTTCCTGGTGAGATGAGCTTATTTTTTTTCCTGCCTCCCCTGCTGCATTATTCATGACCGTAAAATATTCACCAGCCTCCCCTCTTCCCTGCCCCCGACTGCAAAACAAACCCCCAAACAATAATTCAACCTGTCCTCCCTTCCCACGTCGTGCAAAAGGTGAGGAAATAAATTTCTCACCATGGGTTTTTTTATAGTGAACTTTCGTGGCCAGATTTAATCACGGAGGCAAATTTCACACTGCCTTGAAACGGACCCATAAACTTTGCTCAGCATCAAATTCCTCCTTCCATAGCCTGACCCTCCCAGCCCTGCTCTGCCCTGTGCCCACTCTGCGGGGCTCCGCGAAGGAGAGCTTTGCCACCGGCCAAACCACATTCACAGTGTTTTTCCACAAGAAAGGCCAAAGCTGTATGGATTGTGCTAGCATCATGTGAGGTCCGTGTTGCCACTGGGAAAGGGTCGGATCCTGCCTGAGTCGTCCTTCATCAGGCAGGGCATCCTCAGCGAGCTGGGATGTTGCTGGTGGGGTTGGAGCGGTTCTGGGGAGGCGAGGGAGTGCAGTGAGCATCCGCTGGGTGGGGGCATGGGGTTTGCTCGCTTTGAGCGTGGGTGAGTCTGTGGACATTGGAATGGGAAGGAGTGAAGGCAGAAACCCAAAGTCCTGCACGTTTGCTGGTAATTGCGTGGTTGATCTTGGGTGATGCTTATCCAGTTGCGTTTTATTGTGTGGGAGATGACCATAAGGCTCTGACCTGGGTTCAAGGTGCTCTTCTGTTCTGGGAGAGCTCAACCAGCACCGCAGATGAAGAAGGAGCCCACCATGAGGAGGGGGATTGCTGCAGCAGCTCCGAGACTGGGGCAGTAATTTGAGTCTCACATTAGCCTGCTCCTTTCCCTGGTTCCTTCTCTTTCCCCATTAGGGTATTCGTGGGATGGGTCTTCCAGCAGGCAGCACTTTTGCCAGAGAGCTGAGCTGCCATCACCACCCGTGCCTTTCCGAGAGGCTGCTCCAGTGCTAGGTTTTGCTCATGTGCGATTCCAGGTGGATGGGATGGTGGAAAGAGAAGGTCCAAGATCTGCTTGAAGAGGTGCTTCAACACAGGCAGCAGCATAGCGATGCTCCTGGAGCATGGAGACATCTGACGAATGCAGATGTGGTGGAATCAGCTTCTGAACCAGGGACAGAGCCACTCTGAGGGTGGTGAGGCACTGGACCAGGTTGCCCAGAGAAGTTGTGGCTGCCCCATCCCTGGAAGTGTTCAAGGCCAGGTTGGATGAGGCTTTGAGCAACCTGGTGTAGTGGAGGGTGTCCCTGCCCATGGCAAGGGGGTTGGAACTAGATGATCTTTGAGGTCCCTTCCAACCCAAACCATTCTATCATTCTATGACATTAGTTATCATCGGAGAGGAAGAGGCACCTGTAGGACACGTTTCATCTTCCCCCAAGAGGAGCATAGACAAGGTGCCTGAATTGCCCCAGCAAGGGGCAATCAGGAGGAGCCCGTGGTGTCTCACTGTGGTGCACACCGTGGGAAATGCGTCTGCCTCTGTCTCGCAGACCCTGGATGAACTTTTCCAACCCATGGTGAGGTCATCTGGCCGCCTTCTTCAGGCACGGGTACATGGTTCCTGAGGGCTTTTCTCCTCTGGACGACTAACAACCCTTCTGCAGAGCGGGGCCCAACCAATATACGGGAAAGGGAAGAATCACCATAA